TTCCATCCTATCCCATCTGAAAACTGTTCAAGGTTTGGATGATAAATTTGTTCAAGTATGTATTTGTAGCTGGATGTTTTTTGCTCTTTACTCTTTTGATTCTTTGGGAGGGCTGCTACCCAGCTCCCAAATAAACATACACGGAAACTTATTTATTATGAACACCCAGCCTTAGCTTGGCTTGTTTCTAGCCAGCTTTTTTTCTTATTCTATCTATCTTTTACCTCTGGGCTTTTATCTTTCTCCATTCCTGTATACTTTTCTTTACTTCTTACTCTGTGGCTTGCTGTGTAGCTGGATGGCTGGCCCTGATGTCCCCCTTTTCTTGCTTCTCCTTTTCTCATTCCTTCTCTTTTCCTCCCAGATTTCTCCTCCTATTTATTCTCTCTGCCCAGAAGCCCCACCTATTTCTCTGTCTTGCCTACCTATTGGCCATTCAGCTCTTTATTAGACCAATTGGGTGTTTTAGACAGGCAAATTAACACAGCTTCACAGAGTTAAAGGTAACATAAAAGAATGCAACACCTCTTTACATCATTAAAACAAATGTTCCACAGCATAAATGAATGTAACACATCTTAAAAAAATAACATTCCACAACAGATATTATAGAAACACACTCATAAAAAGAAGAGTTGATTTAAAACTTTCATTTAGTTCTTAATGACTTCCCAGGAGTTGTGTTGCAGGACTTGTGAGGCTGAGGCAGGAGGATCCCGAGTTCAAGGCCAGTTTATCCAGGGAGGTCCTGTCTTTGAAAACAGGGGTGAGAGACACAGCTCAGTGATAGAGTTACCTAGATGGGTAAGGACATGCCTTCAGTCCTAGGACTGCAGAAATACAGAAAACAGCACAGTATGGCTTTGTTATGACCTGTGCAGGTAAGTTCCTGGTTCATTCTGTTGTGCTGTTGTATTGATATATATATCTTGGGTTTATATATGCTTAGTTTTGAAGAGTGTCTAAAAAGGTAGGCTCTGAAATACCATTGCCAACCTGTGGAGGTTGCTGGTCTCCCTGGGTGGTACCATTTCAGCCTAACAGAACATGCCATGCTGTGCTTCTCTTCCCACCAGTATTTTGAGTGTCAGCACTGCTGCCTCACTGGTGGGCAGTCAGCAGACTTGTTGATTCTTTGACTTTGGAGCAAGAACTCTCTACTGAGCTTTATCTGCAGAGCTTGTGTAGGGGTTAATTGCTATTGGAACAGGATTCTTCACCTTTTTTTCCTTCCTATAAATTTTAACATGTTATTTAATGAATGTAAAGTTATGCAAAACATTTATATTAAATAGACTTGTTAAATATATCTTTCCTATCTGCCACCTGATTCCTACTGAGTGTTAATATTCAAATATTCATTTGTGATGTGTATTCAGGAATAGGCTTGTGGGTGAAATGGAATTAGTAGGAAGATGCCTGCGACTACTGTACCATATTCCTCTTTGATCAGTTATTGTTGTTAAGCAATATGTTCCTCAGCATTTTCATTAGTGGACAGGATGTAACCCATTCGTTTTCCTTTCCATTTCTTTTTTGTTCTAAGGCACATGGTCCAGTGTGTAAGGAAACAGGTCATAGTGTCTAGAGAGTGGCGAGGAACTGAAAGTGAAGTATGTTACTAAGTTAACAAGTGGAGCTTCATTGCCCTCTAGGGGTTCAGTTTTAACACAGCCCATCCTTATTTTTTTTTATTTTATATTTTAAAAAATAGGTTTAGTGAGCTCTTTGAGGAGAGAGGTCTGCACAGAGGAACACCATCATTAGCTATAGAGTGTGAGCATTGAACACTAAAAACTAGTTTACAGTGTTTCAAGAGAAAGCACACCTAATGCTGTGTAATATCTTAAGTACATGCCTCTGTTTTTAAAGTCATACATTTTCAAGAATTATTTGGCAACCAACGCATTGTTTACCATTTTTAGTGTGCTGTCCATACCCCAGAACAGACCAGGGAATTAAGTTTGTAATATGGATAGGAGGTCATCAGATGTGTCCTTTGGTTCAGCCAGTTTAATGGGCATCTTTGTCTCCGTTTGTGAGATGACTTCTTCAGTTTAATGTTGCCTGTCAGTGCTGTGGGAATGGTTACCCAGTGTTGGATTGCTGGAGTCAGGCTGACTCACACTGCAGTTGCAGAGTGTGGGAAGGGAAGCAGTTTGTTTTTACATTACTGAAAATATTAGCTAAACTTTGGCTGTGTAAGTGGTGCATGTGAAGTTTGTGTGCAGATATGTTAATGTTTTGAATATCTAAGCACATGTCTATATTGGATGTGAAAATCCATGTGGTTATTAACATATTTGGAAAAGATGTTTGTGTTGTTAATTTGTATGTATTTACATTTTGATTCCCTAGAAGGATGCTACGAAGCTGCAAGTGGGTTGTTACTGTTTCTGATTATGAGCTGTGAGATCGAGTATTTTAATAAATATATAGTCGCATTTACTTTACCTCCATGCTGTGGTAGAGAGAGAGGCCAGCCCTGTCAGGACGGTCAGTGCTTGTGTCGTTTGCAGCCCCTTGCTGCTTCTCTTCCATCACTCCAAGTTGAACATTAGATGTTAAGAGTTTATTTGGAAAACTGTAGGTCTTTTCAAGGACCTAATTGAAAATAATTTTAAGTCGTGTGATTAATATTAACAAGAAATGTTGAACTGCAGGCACCACATCCTGAGAATATGTTAGAATGTTGAAGCAAGGAATGTAGGCATTTTAATCATGGTTAAGAGGGAAAATAAGACTTTAGCTGTCTGCTAGAATAAGTAGTTTTGTGTTAAAAGAATTGCAATGAATATTTTTACATGTTAAGTCTATAAGGCTGTTTCTTACTGCTTGCTAGAGTGAGTGTTCAAGCTCCTAAAGTAATTTTCATTCCTCTTGGCTCAGAGTGGAGCTCAGTTTTCAAGCATTCTCACTCACGGCCTCATGTGGATCTCATCTACTGTATTTTAGAAGTGATGAAGAGTGATGTTACAGGTCGTCTACTAGCAATCTGTGAGTGCACACAATAGGGGCAAATAGGGGCATAGAGTGGGGAGGCGCTACCGGAGGACGCTGGTTTAAGGGTGTCTTTCAGAGTAGGCTTATTTTTATCACTCTTATTTCCTTTTTAATTGTTTAATTATTCTTAGAGGTAGCATTAAGGTTTTTTTTTCCCCTTTTTTTCAGTTTAAACAAAATCTATAGCATCGTTAACAGTGGAGTTAAGTTTTTAAAATATAAAATTGGAGTGCTCTAAGTTATGAAAGAGTGTTTTAACACTTTTGTCTTTCTTTATTTCAGGTATGTTATTAGCCTCAATCATAAGAATAATATGAAAGCTTGAGTGATTGTATCTGTTTTAACTACATATTCCCATTTTGAAGAGTATTGATTGAGTCCAGTTAATATATACATTATTTTTTTGAAACCACAAATGCTTTGTTTGCCCCTTCCTCAATTTACTATTTTTTGATCCATCTTGTTTGAATTTCATTGTCAATAGTTTAAAAAAAATCTTTGAACTAAAAACAGAAACAAAACAAAACACACTTTTCTGAGATTTTGCACTGAGCTCAAAAAAAAAAAAAAAAAGAGCAATTTTATTCTACAAACAGGTTGTAGAGTGCTTGCTTTCTGAAATTGGGGAAGAAGTGCTTGTTGCCCTATGTTTTTGTGTCGGTGTGGATAAGGTATTGTCCAGTTCTTTTTTCTCCACCCCGGAGCTTTGTGCCCATCACATCGACGCCTTGTGACATTGAATGTGGTTGACTTTCCTTCCTGCCTGTCACCAAACGCAAACACAAAGGGTCCTTTCAGTGTCTCTGAGTGTAGTAACTCCATCAAGAAGCCTATTGCACCAGTGCTTTTTGTCACATGTGTCCCTCTGCTTTGTAGGTACCAGTTCTTTGTTTTTTAACTGTACTTAGCATGAGTTGTAATTTAAGTGTTTTGGGCCTTAGAGTTGTCTTCCTCAAAGGTGGCAGTCATCCTTGGAGTGTGGAGACAAGGCTTTCATACTCAGTACGTCTTTTTGTTCCAATACCAGTCACCTGGGAAAGTGCTGGATTGTAGCAGCATCCATTCATGAGCAGATGTGGTCAGGCCTCCCTCCAGCCTGTGCTGCTGCTGTAGTTAACAGTCTCCAGGTCTCACTGTCTGCTGAAGCCTGGACTGGGGAGGATTTGCTCACTCTTTGGTTGTTGACAGCATTTACTTCCTCACTTCCTTGTCAATTAAGTCCCTTTCCATGTAGCAGTACACGCTACCCAAGCCCTTGGCTGAAGAGAGCATACACATAGAGACAGCCTCAGGCTTCTGTGACCTAACCGTGGAAGTGGTGTCATCTCCTGGCTGTACCCCTTGTCTAGATGGTCGTTTGGCCTGCCCTCTCCCCTCTGTGGGAGGCATTTGCACTGGGCATGGGCACAGGAGCGGGGATCCTGGGACGCTGCCTGGAGGCTGCCTGCCCCACCTTTCCCCCCTTCTGTTCCATTCATCAAGATTACAGAATCTTTCCTGTTTACTGAAATTTTTTGACTTATTTTTATAAAACCCTCCACTTGACTTTTTGCCCATGTCTATGCTGTATTTCTCTGTCTACTTTGTGTTTCTGCTGTATTTGTTAGCATTCTGGGGATTTATTTTGGCTTTCAGTCTCTTTATCTCTTTTCATCTCACTTTTGACAATTATTCCTGGAAGTGTACTTTCCTGAATTTCTGCTTTTAATAAGTTCTTACATAGTGTGACATCCGAGCGATGCCGCTTCCTTTCCTGAGGCGTCAGTGCAGAGTTGTCCTGCTGCTTCTGAAGTGCTGTGAGCAAATGCTCTTTAACACTCCACCACCTTTTTCTGATGTCTGTCCTCCCCTGTGGGCTCTGTGAGGGCTCTGGTGCTCTGTATACCCTGAAGCCTAGAGGGTGTGGGGGCAGGGGACAATGCAGTGGTGTTGCTTAATAGCCTTTAGGAAGGAATTTTCTTTCCCCATGAGGTTACATTTGGCTTATCCTCTTCTAGTGAGTGTGGATCCCTGAGAAATGACATACCCTGGGTGGTTTTGCCGAGCCCTGCCGAAGTCTACTGAAGGTGCGTAGACGCTCTTGTACTGAATGGATTTCTTTTGTTTGCTTCTGTCCTCTTTTCTCTGAGACTTCCTATACGTGTGCCATTGGCACTCTGTTGAGGATGAGGGATGCTGTCACTGGCGTTCTCAGGATGTTAATGCGTCTGATGAGGCAGCGCATCCTAAGCAGTGGGATTGAGTTCTGAGCTCCATTTACTCTGCCTAGAATCTGTGTGGTTTGTGATAGCAGCTCTCCTGTCAGTACAGTGAGTACAGTGGCAGCCAGCCAGCTTCTGCCCTCCAAAAGCTCTTCTTGTTTGTTTTATTGAACATTGCACTTGGTGTCCTGGGGTTTTTACTCAGAATTACCTTCTTCTTCCGTCTGACCTGTTCTGTTAGCACGGAGACTGTCTTTCTCCATCTGGAAGGTTTCCTTTCTCTTTCAGTTTCATCCAAACCCTGTTGCCAGTTAAGCTTCGTTGAGTATGCAGCTCAGTGACATTCTCACTGGGTGTAGGATCAAGCCTGAGCTCTTATGTTTAAAGCCACAAATCAGTTGCATTCCTTTTTTTTTGACCAAATGCTGTCTATTTTCCCACGCATGCCCTGTGAGGACTGTAAGACCTGCTTAGTTCATACTACCCACTGTGGCTCGTTGGCTTCTCCAACCCTGACATCTTCTGTTGCTCTGTATTCTTATTGTCAAGATCCATCTAAGGATGAGTTCCCAGAGGCGGGCTCAGCTGGACTGTGCCCATTCCTGGGACTCAGCAGTGATGCTGAGGTTGCTGCTGTGTTAGGTTTCATCAGACGTTGAGTCTTGTCAGGCTCATCAGCTGACACTCCGTTTTTAACATTTCAGGGTTTCAGAATCCTCAGTGCAGGAAGTTGCATTATCCTTGGGAAGCTGCACTTCACATTTCCATCTCCTTGTCATCAAGTTCAGGGTTATTTTGAGTCCTAGGTTGGTCCTCTTCTTGGGCTTATCTGTATGCAATTACTCATGTAGTGGCATCCTCTAGGACTCTAATATAAATAGTAACTTTGTGGCGAGGGAAGCAAAGTAGTTTCACTTTTGTACCTTTTAATTCCATGTAGATCGGATTCCTTCTGCTTGTCTCAGTGCCATGAGACTGAAATCATGTTGATTATATGTTTGGGCTCAGGGTAGACAGAACAGTGGATAGTGAAGAGGCGCTGTCCCTTGACAAAGCCGCAAGTGGAGGTCCTGTTTTGAGAGAGACGAAATGTGAATAGAAAGTAGTGTCCCAAGAAACACTAGCCTAACATGGGGTTAAAAAGAAGAGTCATGAAGAGAAGCCAGATCAGTGAACTCAGGCATGGTAAGTTCCAGGGGGTTGGTTGTCAGCTATCCAGGAGATAGATAGCCTTCAAAAAATATGGCTTTGAGCCTTAGGTTCTGGGTTTTCAATAAAAATACATCTTTCTTTTTCTTTTCTTTTTTCTTTTTTTTCTTTTTTTTTTTTTTTTTTTTTTTTTTTTTTTTTGGTTTTTTGAGACAGGGTTTCTCTGTATTGCTTTGGAGGTTGTCCTGGCACACACTCTGTAGACCAGGCTGGCCTCAAACTCAGAACTCTGCCTGCCTCTGCCTCCCAAGTGCTGGGATTAAAGGCATGCGCCACCAATGCCCAGCTAAAGATACACCTTTTAAAATTATATTTATTTATTATATGTAGGGGAGGGGAGGGCAGTGATGCATGGAGGTCAGAGGATAATTTGTAGTGGGTCCCAAACACCAGACTTGGTTCATCAGACTTGGTGACAGGCACCTTTACCAGTTGAGCCATCACATCTTTTAAAAGTACCTCTTTTCTAAAAGGTTGGGAGATGGTGGTGTGAGTTTTAGGACAGCTAGGGCTACACAGGGAAACTTTGTTTCAAAAAACCACATAAGTAAATAAATAAGTAAGCAAGCAAGCAAATAAATAAACAAAAGTACTTCTTTAACTTGAGAGTCCATTCAATTCAGCTAAAACTATGTTGATTTTCTTTTTAACACAGCTGTGAATTTGGTTGTAGGATTAAATTTGACCTAAGTAGTCACATCACAGGACTTTTCTCTCTGTCATAACACAGTGTATGTGCATGGAAACAGTCAGTGTCAGGGTCATCTCTGTGTGGAGCAAATGTCTAGCCAAATGCTGTCTGCAGTGAGGTGGGTGGCATTGTAGCACGAGCGTCTTAGTGGCTGTGGATGCAAAAGAGAGCAAATGTCCTTCCTCCTTTGCTGTGTGTGCATTTCTGTCCATAGAATAGTGAGTGCAATGGGTCACAATTGAGGGTACTTGTCCTTTCTGTTGTGTAGAATAAATTCCTGTCACATTGTAGGACAAACACATTTTTATCCATCACTTCAGCTGTTAGGTGGATTTGGAGAATGTTTTGATAGCATTTACAAATCAGAGGAAGAGCTTGGAGCAGTGGCCAGGGGGCCTCTGTGGCAAGGGGCTGTGGGGTGTCCTATTGAGACTTGAAGAATTTGAGATACTAGGTTAGATATGAAAGCTGTCTATGTGGCTTTATGAACACGGAGTTAGCTGAAAAGCTTTATCATTGTTATTCAGGAGTTCCACGTTGCTACCAAAACCCTAAAGACTGAAGACCTGATAAGCTGGATTTGCAAGAAAATTTGAAGATTGCATCATAGTTAAGAATATAGAGGGAAACCAGTACATATAGCAGTATAGAAAACTTTTCCTTTTTAAAAGCTTCCTAAGTCGGTGGAAAGTGACTTACAGGGAGCTATTGAGTGGGCTCCTATCATATCCATGATCTGCTTTCAGAGCCCCTATACTCTACTGCAGGTCCTTGTTTACAGCTCCAACAGTGTCTGTTTTCTACACAGTCTGTTTATAAACTGTTCCCATCTGATGCTCCTGGCTGAGTATGATGGTGCCATCAGGTGACAATCCCATTAGAGACCTGAATTTTTATTCCTTATGCATAGTAACAGGGCTATTTTATACTGGGCTAAAAGTTGAGTTAGATGTCTCCTTATGTGTGCATTCTTGATTCGTAAGATAGGATCACAGAGAACATTCCTTCCCTTCTAACGCACTCTGTAACAGAAAATATAGGAGCACAGAGAACACTCCTTCCTTTTAACACACTCTGTAACAGAAAATACAGGAGCATAGAAAACACTCCAAAACACTCCTTCCTTCGAACAGAAAATACAGGAGCATAGAAAACACTCCGAAACACTCCTTCCTTCGAACGTACTTGGAAACAGAAAATACTTAGTTTTTTAGAGTAGGTTGGACACTTCGTGTGTGAGCCAGACTTCTTATTTTGTACGTACTGAAAGGTAACCCTTCTAGAGAAATGTGGATTTTTAAAACAATGATAGTCCTCAGCCCAGTACTATTTGTAGTTGGAATTGTTTAAATCTAATGGGAATATATTGGGAATGTTTCTCACTCTCAATTTTATACCCAGTACATTGAAGACTGAAAATAACGTGTGAAGGGAAACATAGCCACCATGAAAATTCCTGTTTCCTAAAAGTAAGTGTGGTGCTTAGCTACTAAGTCTTGAGTGGTTATGACATCGAAGGGTGTGTGGTCCTTCAACAGATGTGATATTATCTGAAGGAGTTGTCTAACAACAAAAAGTTAAAACTGTAGCAAAAGGACTTATATGTAGATACTGAGTACTGGCAATTAGGAGTTAATCTGCTTTTATTTCACCAGCACAAAGAAAATTCTTAATTGCAAATTAAGAAATTAGTAGAAATGTTAAAGCCCACATAAATCAGAAGTGCCAGAAACCCTAGATTTGTTAATGGTATGTCAGGCAGGGTGTAGGTGGCGCACGCCTTTAATCCCAGCACTCGGGAGGCGGAGGCAGGGGCAGGGGCAGGCGGATCTCTGTGAGTTCGAGGCCGGACTGGTCTCCAGAGCGAGTTCCAGGACAGCCTCCAAAGCCACAGAGAAACCCTGCCTGGACTTTAGCCCTAGTCTTTGAGTCAGAGTCTCCCGTCCTCCCTCCGCCCTGCCTCTCGTACATTTATCCTCTGCCCACCTGTGTTTTGCATTGCCGGGAAAAACCGCCTAGTGACCTCTTGCTTGCGAGACAATGTTCTGTCTTTGAGCTGTTTTTCCAGTTGTCAGCTTCTCATTGATTTGTTGGGTAAAATAGAGATTTTCACCACAGGTTGGAACTACTAGATCAGTCACTTCAGCCAGCAGCCAGGACTTTTCAGTCCTCACTCCAAGCCTGAAAGAGATCGGGCTTGCTGCTGCTTCAGATTTAGCTCTAAACTCTTTTGTTACCTTGAAGAAGTTGCATCTGATCTTTAGTTTCTGTCACTTTTTGTGTTGAAAAAGAAAACAAAATAAGATGCAGTTTCTGCATTCTGCTACTCCAGAAATATCTCTAGTGAATAATGTTTTCCCAACAGATTGCTTTTATTTCAAATCTTTTATTTTTATTTTTTAATAATTATTTTTTATTTTTTGAAGTTATAAGACAATTACATCATTTCTCCTTTCCTTTTCCTCCCTCCAACACCTTCCATCTATTCCATTTACACACTCTCAAATTTACAGCCTCGTTTTCTTTGTTGGTGTATGTGTGTGTGTGTGTGTGTGTGTGTGTGTGTGTATGTTCTCTACAATGCTACCTGTGTGTATGTAATCTGAGGGCGGACCATGTGGTATTTTAAATGTGAGTCTTGCGTCTTCATCTTTACCTTCCCTTTAGGTCTTGAACACAAACCCCGTCTGAGTCCCACATGAATGGCTGAGGCACTTACTAGCATAAATAGCTGTGTCTTTGGAATCGTTGGTGGAGTGGCCTGTGCCAGGCTTAGGAGTCTAGTAGTCTCATCTTCTGTTATCTTTCTCATTGCCCATTTTCTTTGTAAAATTTTTTTTTTTGATTGTCATATACAGAGTTAGACATTTTAGCATTGCTGGCTGTGAAATTATCTTGTTGGTTTCTTTGCTTCTTTAAGTTTTTCCTCTGACAGGTACCTCAGAGGGTACTACCTAGACAGCCC